AAAAATTACATTTCTTTCAGACACATTTCATTTATTTTTGTGGCGAGTTCACATCATTCAGACAGCGATCTATCACACGCAAAGAAATCCCTGCTAACTTCAGCCAGTATGTCACACTAGCACTTTTTTCGTAATTTTTTTTTTTATACAATTTTCTGAAATTTTGTCCATTTTTGAGCGAATTGTCGATTCTCCAGTCAGACGATAATGATCGTTTCCGTCTGAAAACCTTAACGTCAACTTTTTCATCCAAGCACAGTCAAATCAACTGTTATATTCGAGAATGTTTGTATTTATGTTAAATAAAATTGTCAAAAAATTGACGGAAAAAGAGCTAGTGTGACAGCACCATTAGCGTCCTGAGTCCCTTCGGTTATGTACTTTTTAGCTAAAGTTTTGTTCCAAGCACGAGTTTTCGGTTGTTCTTCAATTTGGGGCAAAAAGTGCCCATGAACACTTTATTTGAACGATGTCTCTTCCACAATTTAATTCACAGGCGATATAAAACAACCAATATGGTTAGTCTAATCGAGTAAATGATCACAAAGGAAATCTGAGATTGTAAAGTGGGCCTTACGCCACGGAATGGAAACTCGACTCCATTCGCTGCTAAATATTACGAAATCTGGATTGAAATCTGCGATTATAAAGGCTGCACCTCGAAATCTTCTTATTTCCACGTTTTATTGCTGATTTATGGAATTAGAAAATCTGCAGAAATGGATAGGTATTAGATTACATTATATAACCTGTCATATCGGTGTATGCAAGGACACGCACGCTTACTTAATCTTTTCTTTAGCTGAAATAATATCACATGCTACTGAATATATCTTTTAAATCTTGCTTATGACGATATGTCGCAAATGCAAGATTGCTCTGATCAAATAAGGGAAAGACGTTATAAATGTAAACAAAACTACACACGTTCTTTACACAGAGAAGATAAGAATACGTAATCTACTCATTGCACACCGCAAGTTCATATAATAGTTAACGTTATTTGATTTGTATGAGGGAGATGTCTTTGTACACGTAGAGAACAGTCTGGAATCGATCCAGCTTTTCTCTCAATTTGCTTTTATACACACAATCCCTTACGATTTACTTCAGCTCAAAATAGTCAGGAGATAACAGACAGAAAGTGTCTATAAAAAGAAAAAAATAATAGTAGAATGAATTGTCCTTTAAGATTATAGCAGACAACTGATCTATACATACAAGCTTGATGAAATCGTAAACCATGGGAAATAAAATAGACTCGGAAGACCATTAAATAATACAATTAAAGAAGCACTAACACAGTATTTGATTCTCTTATATTTGCACTGTTCGTAACTCTGTTTATCCAAAACGTAATGGATGGCTAATGCACGGAGGCACTACTCTGTCACTACAATTGAAGTTGAACGAAATGATTTGCAATTTACGATGATTTTGCGATGAATATAGTCTAAAACTTAAATCTCAAGCAGGTTTAGCGCTCCACAGCCTCGTGTCTTTGACTGGGGAATGATTGGCTCCTGTAGAGAGTGTGACGTTCAGAAGCGTAACGTAAATGGGTAATTGACTGTACAAAGCAGTTTTGAAGGGTAATGGACTGGTCTCTGCCAATCGCGGGTGTTTGGAGATTCACAAATACCTGTGCTTGCGCAATGAAACCACACACACACACACACACATACAATAATATATATATATATATAATATATATATATATATATATATATAATATATATATGTATGTATGTATATACACATACACAAACACTGGCACCCAGACGCACTCACACACACTCATATATATATATATATATATATATATATATATATATATATATATATATATATATAATATATACATATATGCATAAAACACATGGCATAGCCTTTGCTATGTACTGAATTTGTGTGTACATGTATATATCTTCTTACAGTATTTACAATATAGTTTCACTCACTCAAACATCGGCTTACAGAATTCACACTTCGCATGCCGCTGGAATTCAAGAGATTAAAATATATACGTTTTATCTTACAATATATGCAGTGAAAATGTGGTGTATTCACACCTTATTTGTACATAATAAAGAATGTGATGCACAGTTAACGCCTGCCTTGTATGCAGTAAACTATGCTTAACAATAAACAGTATTGCTCTGTACCGGTATGCTGTTATGCTGTTGCTTTGGCGGAGAATTGAGGAAATCCGTTCACCAATTCCTCCAACTTCGGCGTCTTTTAGTCTTGCTCGTTAACTGTCAGCGGAACAGCCTGATGCCGGATGCCTTCTGATGATGAGTCCAATCTTCCGAATCTCTCCTTACTTATTTATATCACAGGTATGCTAATCAAGCTGCATCCTGAGGCGATACCACCTCCTCAAGGCTGAACCGATGAACCGCTTTCCAGGTTGATTGTATTTCCTTACGTCTGAAATATCACAATCGCTGCACTTCCTACAGCTGAGACTCTAGAAGAAGGCGAGGACCTGCACTTCACACTTCTTCCCCCGGCAGCTGCCTCTTCCGCTTCATTCTCTGGCTGATGAGGTAGCAGAGGAACATGAGGGCGGCGCCAGACAGCAGGTTCGCCACCGAGAACCAGATCACCCCGGTGTAGCTGCCGGTCAAGTCGACGATGCAGCCTGCCGGGAAAGCACTAGGTTGTACAAAATCGAGAACAATTGATTATGAGTGAGTTTTGAACGCATGGAAGAAACAAATGAGGTATTCTCAAGTATCCGAGACATTTCTGCATTTAGCAACGGGACTCGAGGCGAACAACCAGTTTATTAAAATAGTGCGATGCCCGACCCGATGAATATTCTTTATACGGATATATCGAGATAAATAAAATATCTCAATCTAGACATGCACATCTACCGGATAGATAGACAGATCAATGACTATCTATCAGATAGACACATAGCACCTATTTCTGTGAATATGCATATCCGTATATATCAATATTTACTGTGTCGGGCCACGCACAATGTCAACAAACTCCGAGAACAGTCACATCTAAGTAACCATCGACTTATTGCAGGGAAGGGATCCTCCGCTGCAGGGAAGCCTGCAGTGAGGATCCGTGCGGGCGGACGTACCGGCAGGGGCGGGTCCGAGGGCCCGATCCCGCCGAAGAAGAGGATGTACCCGAAGACCATCACCAGCTTCTCCTTCCCGAACTCCTTGGAGGGCGCCACTGCGATGAGGACGTTCATGCTCCCGTAGAGGCAGCCGAAGGTGGCCGTGAGAGCGAGCAGCGCCACCGCGGAGTTGATGAACAGGTGCCCGATCATGACGGAGAGGAGGAGCCGACAGGTAGGAGGTCCATTGCTGTCCGAGGGGATGAACGTTGGCGTAAATATGGAAGTGGATGTATTTCACAGTGTTTTGAACCATGACAAAATTTAGTAGATGAAATAATATTAGAAGGAGAAGAACCACCGATAATAGTAAATGGTAAAATTGATACTTGCGTCATTCAGCGTCATGAGGAGGCCTGTGCTCACTCGGCCGATGAGGTCACCGATGCCAATGCCAGAGAGAGCCATGGAATAATATTCGCTCTGACCCACTGAGTCGGCGAAATCCTGGAAGGCAAGAACTATTAATAGAAACAATCGAAGTACTCATTAATCATTAAAACAAGATTCCGTAGATATAACAGATCTAAGGAAATAACCCAGTCTTACCAAAAGTTGAGTAAATACAACTGATTTCATTATCTCTGCACTTCATGTGATATTTGTATGAACATCAAAGCCGCGTCATGACACTGGATTCAATCTAATCATTCAAGAAACCTTGATCTTACTGCATAATTCTTTATGACTGACAGACTTAACTGCCGACACAGGCTTGGGGGATTTACCTTGTAGATGACATATAACGTGAGAGTTCCCACCATGCAGAAGAGGACTGAGAAATCCATCAGCCACACGCGGGTATCCAGCAGAGGGTGATCGGAAGAGTTTCTGAAAAAAAAAATAGAGATGCATGTAATACTTAAAAATGCCCTACAACTTATTAGATATAAACCGAAGCAGTAATTGGATTGTTTTTTTTTCTTGATTCGTGTATTCCAGTCATAAACCTTACTCAGAGAATGATTTGATGGCTCTTTGTGTTCGAAGCTTCAGTTTCTTGACCAAAAGCGTGCACAGGGACCTTCGCTCATTGCGCCAGTTCTGAAAAATAGATGTATTAGGAATTAGAATTAGAAATTTCGAAATAGGATCCCGCACATGAACATTAATCGAACTCTCACCAAATAAACAATACAGCGAATGTCTTCAGTCCTGATGATACTAAACCGCCATCCCAAATAAACTAAACAAATTAAAAACTAACTAACTAACTTAATAACCTGCAGTACCTGGTGAGCCTCTCCCGCGCAGCCCTCCTCCAGCTCTTCGGCGCAGCAGCTGAGGTCGCAGTCGTCCTCCCGCAGAAGGAACCTCACCTTCTCGACCCCAAACACGCCAGGTTTCCCAGCGTCGATATCTCCATCATACTGTAAAAAGGAAGTTTATTATGAAACAAGAAGAAAACGGGGAAGCAACAGGAAAGAAAGGAGAGGCAGAGAAAGAGAAATATTTGAAAGCGACTGTGGCATTTAAAGTCAAGGACGCAATGAGAAAAGGTTAGCATCAATTTTGCAACGGCTTGCAATGGGGGGAGAGGAAGACGCTGTAAACCCGACTGAGCAGCTGGAGCGAAGCAGCCACCTCTCGACGCGTCATAAACGAATAACATTCTTATTGGCTTTGACGGAGATGACTAATAGCAATATCAATCAAAGCCAGCAAGACTTGACACTCATTCATAACCGAAATATAACGTTAATATAACCTCAATCATAGACAAACTAACATACACACAACAGACCGAAGCGTATGAATAGGCAAATAGCACACCTGCAAATCACGTCGAGAACAGAAGCTCTGATTCCTCGAGAAGAGACCGAACTCCACGTGCGAATCTCTGTGGGGGAAGCTGTATTGATTCGAGCGGAGGTCTGAGTGGGAGAGCTCGGCTGGTGCCGGCGGATCAGACGCGAAGGCGTGGAGGGTAATGGACCAATGGGGGAGATGGAGGGGGTAGCAATCAATATGGGCTGATATCTATTCGCGAGACTATCTGTCACACCTAGGTTCTGTCTAACACTCTCCGTATGTGTATAAAGTACCTATGACATTCAGAGTATAAAGTATAAACTATAAACTGAAACAGTACTATAAGCTTTGAGACCAACCTGTCATTCAGAGACTTTTTGAAAGACGCTCGACTTCTGGAAGTTGTCATTCCCCTGACGGTGGCGATCGAGCCAGGGAACTTCTCCGTCTGCTCCTGGAGGTCCTTGAGGAACTCCTGCGAGGGCGTGAGCTGGAGCGGGAACACCAGGGCGCCAAGGACCACAATCTGGAGGCTGAGGGCGCCGTTGAAGAGGAAGGACCCCCGCCAGCCGTACTCCCGGATCACGTATTCCGACAAAGAACTCTGTAGAACACCAATAGCAATTTAAGCCGACTATAGTTCTCGCAAAAAAACAAAGAAATAAACAAATAAAACGCAGAACAATAGATGAGACTCCCAAAGAATAATAAAAAAAAACTGTTCCCTTCACATCCCATTCTTATTCCATCGGAAAGAAAGAAGAAAGAAGCAGAAGAAGAAAGAAGAAGAAGGAGACGTAGAAGTAGAAGTAAAAGAATAATAATAAGAAGAAGACGTAGAAGTAGAAGTAAAAAATAGAAAGAAAAAAAAGAAAAAAGAAAGAAGAAGAAAAGGAACACAACAAGAAGAATAAAAAAGAAAGAAAGAAAGCAAAAAAAGAAAACTCACCATAAAGAACATGCCGATCCCGATTCCGATCATGGCACCGGACGTGGCAATGGACTGCCTCTTGTCGAAGTACTGTGCCAGGGCGATGATCTGACCCGAGTAGCAGAAGTTCATCCCACACGCTGAAACACAACAGTCAAGGATGAGGTCACGGCGCTCGAGGTCAGCGTGGCAGCGAGGAGGAACTGTGTACTTTAGGTGTCAAATGGGGGGGGGGGGGTGTATACTGAGGATCGGTGGAGAAATATAGAGCATAGAGGAGGTGTATAGAGTGCGAGGTAGGGTGTGCAAATGGGGGGTGTTTTTTCGTATGGCGAACGTGGTGAGAGAGGGAGAGAGGATGGGAGAAATGAAGAAAGAGAGTGGGGGAGATGAAGAAAAGAAGAAAGAGAGTGGGGGAGATGAAGAAAAGAAGAAAGAGGGTGGGGGAAATAAAGAAAAGATGGAAAGAGGATGGGAGAAATGAAGAAAAGATGGAGAATTGAGGGAAATTGAGAGAAAGGGATAGCGTAAAAGGGAAATGGAAAGTCTATAGCAGATGATGAGACACTGTACCAAGTGTATGGGAGAAATTAATAGTGCATTGAAGACGGTAAGAAAGTGTATAGGAGATAATGAGAAATCACAAGTTCAAGAAATGTAAGAAAATAATACGTAGTAAGAAACTATAATGAGCAAATGGGCTGAATAGTCGTTATATGACTTTAGGGATAATAATTACGTTAACTTGACTGGATGAGGTAAATGGATGTCGGATAATAAGGATAATGAAAATACATATTGTAACCATGAAATCAAGTTTTGTTCAGAGCAAACCAAAGCTTAAAATATTGCAATTAATGTTATTTTTTTTTCTTTTTATTCATGAAACAGACGATTACAATATGGATTTTAATTTCTTTGGTAATTGAGGTAAATGACAAAAGATTCAGTAATGATAGGACAGTATGAGTGTTATGTTACTGTATTGATTGTAAGGTATGTTGGAGAGAGAGAGAGAGAGAGAGAGAGAGAGAGAGAGAGAGAGAGAGAGAGAGAGAGAGAGAGAGAGAGAGAGAGAGAGAGAGAGAGAGAGAGAGAGAGAGAGAGAGAGAGAGAGAGAGAGTCAGAAACAGAAATAGAGAGACAGCCAGACATGATAAATGAATGAATGGAAGGGAATTAGGTAATAAAGAAACAATAAAACAAAAGAAACCAAACCAAGTGTGCGTGAGAGCGTGCACTTCACGTGTATTCTGACATTAAAGTGTTCCCACTGAAATCCCCTTTATGGTCAAATCAAACAAATCATAATAAAGGAGCAAAAATATATCACAGTATACTGGAAGAGAATGAGAATGCTCCTCATTGACTATAGAACTTCACACTGGAAAAAAACAACACCTAATAAACCAGTGCAAAAAGAGTAAAGAATTTCGTTACAGTAAAATTTCTCAAACCCCGAATTAGAATAATATCTTTCGGGCGAACAGTAAAGTCAAACTTAATCTTAACCAGCAGAATTAGGGATAGTTAAGCCCTTAAGTACTGTAGCGCAAACAACTGTTAGAGGAAACCAAACTGTTATTGCGGAAGGAAAGGGAAACAGAAAATAGAACAAAGGACATTTGCGATACACCTAATTTGATTAAAAGAGCCTTCAGAACATGTCGAGAACACGTGTTGTAAAGAAATATATATTTTATTTCTATTCATATTTATATTCAGATATGAAAGTGCTACTCTCAGAAAGATTCCAAAGGTATTTAGCTCTGAACAAGAGTGCAGAAAACTCGTAAACATTTTGTGTGTGTGTGTGTGTGCTTGTGCGCTCCTCCCTCCATACCTTCCTCTCCTCTCTCTCTCTCTCTATCTCCCTCCCTCCTTCCTTCCTTCCTTTCCCCCTTCTCTCTCCCTCTTCTCTTTTCTATCTCCCTTTTCTTTCTCTCTCTCTCTCTCCCCGCTCTCTCTCTCTCTCTCTCTCTCTCTCCCGCTCTCTCTCTCTCTCTCTCTCTCTCTCTCTCTCTCTCTCTCTCTCTCTCTCTCCCTTTCACTCATTCCTCTATAAACCCAGGTACTGTAATGTGTATATTGTATCTTGTATTCAGAATAAATCTTGCCACGGAAGGCGGCCAACCAATATTTGAATTTAATTTCGCAGTCAATTGTTAAGAGGATTAATGCTGTGTCTGAGACTGTTAACATATGGAAAAAAGGAAAAAAAAAGCAAGAGAAAATGAGCCTGAAAAAAATCGCATTTAGTAAGCATATATGAGAAATTGGACACATATCAAGAAATTTCAAGATATTGCAATACGATCAAACTTCTTCGTTCATGAAGCTTGTTTGGTTAAATCCCCAAATCTTTTGGAAAACTCTAGGGTAGCATGTTTCCCAAAACGCCTGTGGTATAACCAGCAACTATACGTACCTGAGGTCAGCCTCGACATCCCTGCTCTCCTGAAAGTGACCATTAACCCCGAGGAGGGACTCATCAACATTCCCATCATCACATCATCATGACCATGATCATCATCAACATCATCACATCATCATCATCATCACCACCACATCCCCAAGACAATTGAGGGCTGGCGAGGGTGATTTCGACTTTTTCGACTGATCTTTGGCTACTTCTGCTCTTCCTTTCTTCACAGCTCCAACAGATGGTCGTTTCCGCCGGAAAGCTGTAAACTGTTTTAAAAAAAGAGAAAAGTGAGGTGCAGGTGCACGCCACAGCTGCTGTGCGAGGCCTCGACTGTGTGCTTGCAGTGACCTGCCTGCTGTTAACTGCAGAATCCCCCAGCTGTCAGACTGCCAGGACTACTGCTAATCCTCAACGATTTTTTTTTTCTCTGGAAAGGAGACTGCACGGGGACAAGCATCAGGAGGGACGCCCGGAGGTCAGGAGGGGGTGTTAAAGACTTCTATGGCTCAATAATCATGCCTATTCCACATGTATAAGACAGCTGTGGCAAAAAAACGAACAAACGGGCAAGGGCTACAGCGAGTGGAATCTGGTCCGCGAGGCCACGACCTCCGTCCAAGCGGCTCATTACCTATCACGATGCCGTAGGTGAAGAAGAGCATCTCGAGGGAGGTGGTGAAGGCGGAGGCGATGTAGCCCGTCATTATGAGGACGGAGCCCAGTATGAGGGACGAACGGCACCCGAACCGCTGGATGAACGAGGAGCTGATGGGACCTGAAGGCAAAGGGGCGTCGAGATGAAGGCAAGTCCTTGGAGGAAGCCAGCAAAGGGAATTGAAAACCTTTGGCGAACAGAAACACTCAAAATAATACGTCTATTCCCATAAAACCTAAATATAAAGACCCCCCCACACAAAAAAAATCCGCACTATCTCAAACTTCCCTAGTATTCTAACAAAATATTTAACATGACATTACGAAGACCCCAAAATAGTAGCCAGTTATTGATGTCCCGCCTCCCGAGAGTTGGCGACTGTGGCGACCGAAGACACTTACCTCCGAGCATGAAGAAGGCGTTGGTGAGGGAGCCCATCCAGGCCGTGTAGGAGCGAGACTTCCCGTATTCATTCAGCATCGGCACGTAGTAGAGGCCGTCGTGTAGAGCAAGCCTGTGGGGAGGTCGTGTTAGCTCGTTCGGTTCTCGTGGGGGTGTACGAGGACAACATACACACACAGGCGTATGAAGATACACACATCTACCACCCAGAACGCGAACACACATACACACACACATATATATATACACACACCCTTACGCCACGCACGTACTCTCACACATCCCAACTCACCTCCACATACACACAATACACATCGCAACACCCCCCCCCCCTAACCTCCACCTCACAACCCACCCCACCTCCCCCACCCTCCACAACCCCACCCCCCCCTCCACCCACCCACAACTCGTCCACCAACCTGAAGTAATAGCGAAGATCAAAGAAGACGGAGAAGAGCACCACCCACAGCCCACCGCGTCGACGTCGGGGTGGAGACGCCTCGTCCGATCAGCTCCTGGGTGCGGACCGAGGGAGTTCTTGCGGGCTGTCCTCGTTCCTGCGAGGAGAGGGCGGGTTGACGGTCGGATCTGTCGGTCTTACTATCTCGTTACCTATGCATGATAATATATGTATATATTATATATATATATATATATATATATATATAATATATATATATATATATA